TGGGACTTATGATAAGTCTCTGCCTTGGCCGCAGTGTGGTGGGGCCAGCGGCGGCATCATCTATGATGTAGAGCTGTCTGACGCTGCCAACGCGGGGCTTCCGAAGGCGCTGAAGTTCCTTCAGCCGATTAAGGCCAAGTACCCCGGTGTGTCCTGGGCCGATACCATCCAGCTGGCATCGGCATGCGCCTTGAAACACTGTGGGGGGCCTGATATTATTCCTTATATGAAGTTTGGCAGGAAGGACATCTCCGGTCCTGAGGAGTGCCCCCCAGCTGGGAGGCTTCCTATGCCTGAAGGCGCCGACCATTTGAGGAAGATCTTCTACCGTATGGGCTTCAATGATCAGGAGATTGTCGCTCTTTCTGGTGGTCATACTATCGGTAGGGCCTTCAAAGATCGTTCTGGCACGGTTGAGGAGGCTGCTGGGCGCGGTACTCAATACACCAACGGTAGCGAGGTGGCTCGTCTTGATGGAAAGGAGGGTATCGGTATGAAGGGCGGCCGCTCTTGGTGCAGGAAATGGCTCAAGTTTGACAATGAGTACTTCATCAACATCATGGAGGATGCTAAGTCCAAGAGCAAGGTTGATAACGGTCTCCTTGTCCTCAAAAGTGACAATTGCCTTGTCACGGATCCGTCGTTCAGGCCATACGTCGAGGTCTATGCTAAGGACAACAACAAGTTCCTCTGCGACTACGCTCAAGCACACATAAAATTGAGCGAGCTCGGTTGCCAATATGTCGTTGACGGTGGGATCAAGGTATGAGGGGTATCTGGGGTTTACCATGATTCAGTAAAGGCTCGTCTCGAAGGGTCTACTCGCAGTCTGGTAACTCGTTATTCCGATTTTTTCTCGTCTAGCTAGTCTTAGTCTATACATTCCGTGGCCATGGCTTTGCGTTGCATAATGATGATGGTGAAGAGGGTAGTATTTCCATTGACGCTCTGTCCACGTGATAGTTATGCTTAATTCCTTCCGATGACTCCTCGTAGTCGTTCACGAAGAGTTGTCGTGGCGGCTCTATTCGGGTGGGCGATGGTTGCCACCCTCTATGTGAATTACTTTTTCTTGACACCATCGCGGACCCAGTCGGTTGCTCTATCACAGCCTCGTTCGGATGTCCTCCACCGGTCGAATCTTCGGCTTAGTTCGTCTCCTAGGGAAGCTAAAGGCTCCCGGTATGGACTAGGTTGGTTGGCGCTATTCGCTGTAGTGGGGGTTGCAGCACGGGCGGCTCTACGGAAGGACTTCCCGTATTTCAAAGATCAGGAACTGACCTATCTGGACTCGGCTGCGACCTCGCAGAAGCCGCAGGTAGTACTGGATGCGATGGATCAATTCTACACCGAGACGAATTCGAATGTTCATCGCTCCGCTCACTTGGCCGCTGAACGGGCCACGGAGGCTCTTGAGCAATCCCGAGAGACGATGGCGAAGTTTATAGGAGCGAAGGGAATTCGAGGGCTAGTCATAACATCGGGGGCGACTGATGGCCTCAATAGGTTGGCGGGCATGGCATCGAGGAATGGTCTTCTGGATGATGGGAAGGTTTTAGTGACAGAGATGGATCATCATAGTAATATTTTACCATGGAGCACTGCTTGCCCGAGGACAGAAATGGTGAGGGTCGATCGTGAGTCGGCTGAGATCGACATGGAGGATCTTGCTAGTAAGCTCGACGACCACGTAAGGTGGTATCCTTCGTCCATGTGAGTCACGTCACTGGACATGAAGTTGACGTTGACGCGATTCGGAAGCTGGTTC